GGGGGTGTAAAGTGGACAAAAACGTTTGAATTATATGGTTCATGAAAGTCTGTGGTTTTATTGCCCCATGACCACCACCAGCGTCCATTGTAAATATTTTTATCTAGATAAAAAAAACATATCTGTTATATTGCAAAAATTACCCGGATAAAACTAAGCCATTAAGACCAGAAATATTAATGACGTGGTTATATAAATCGCGAACATTGACGTTATCTATACTAAAAGTACTGTTTATTTTAGACTGTGACAAAGATTTAGATTAAACAGTATTCGTTATTAATCACACCTATAGTAATCTATCATTTAAATAGAACCCTTGCTAGTTAACGATGTACATCAATGATGACCGTACGATAACATCAATCACGTGTAGATGTTTTCAAAGAAACACGTGTCTATATAATATGTAGTTTAATGGCACATTTGTTGGAAAGTGGAATTCTAGATTGACTTTAGTTTTATGGAATAATTTACTAGACGGGATCGATTAAAGGGACAATAACACTCTTGCTGGGTTGACAGCTCCAGAAAATAAAAAATAGCCCTATTCTAATACTAGATGTGCTAGTGTCCTACCTGTTGTGTAAATAATCCTATTTTATTTGTCCAGAGGGTTCAAAAATATTTTTAAATCCAAGTAACATTTGAAGAGCTTTACGTCAGGCTTTTCAAATCATTTAGTTGAATTTTTCCAATTTTTTTAAATTAGGTGTGTTAAGATGAAATTTGTATCATCAATTAATTGGAATATTGTAAAATAGTACAATTTGTTGAACAGAATAAAGATTGGGACATATTATTCAGTTACAATTAGGTGTGTTAAGATGAAATTTGTATCATCAATTAATTGGAATATTGTAAAATAGTACAATTTGTTGAACAGAATAAAGATTGGGACATATTATTCAGTTACAACAAGGGTGGTATTGAGCCTTTAATTAAAGAAACGAACATACTGGTAGTCCTGCAAACCTTAAAAACTTTAGCATGTCAATGACCTGCATCGATTTTCACAAAAGTGGGTCATTATGGGTCATTCTATGTCAATTGTGCCAAACTTCGGAAAGTTGGGAACATGACCCTCTCCAAAAAAATGATAAAAAAATATATGTTATAGTACATGGACTTAATCTAAGAAATCCAAAATTATACGTCTCTAGGTCGAACATTCGCTGAGATATGGCCATTTGAAATTAGAGTACTGAAACGGATCATTAATTCAGTAATTTTTTTCAGTTTTTCAGGCGTTTTAAACTCACGTTTTTAATAGGAGTAGAACTCTCTAACTTTGTAATCTAAGACAACTTTTGGTGCAGATTATGAATTTAGCATCACACGCAATGTGTGATTCACACAGTTCGTGCAACCAGGTGGCAAAATGTGGAACAAATAAACTATTCACTTTTTTCCCCGGATTTCCACAGCCACACGCAAAGTCACTATTGCAGTTTGTCTTTTATCAATTTAAAATTCTGAAAAAGTTTGATAACTGTTTGAAAAAGTTTTATTACATATTTGTAATCTAGGCAAAAAAACACTCTAAATAGACAAGCTAGAAGTCATTTAGAAGTTATTTTAAAATTATAACAGCCATTAAAACTTCATCACCGCACAGATTTCAAGTGCCAATTAAACATAATAAGCCATCAAATACTCAAGATGGGCTTTAATATAATTATGTTATAGTAGGGTAATTCAAGTTTTATTATCAAACTTTTTCAGAATTTGAATCTCTGTCCCACATGGCCAAAATTGAAGGTGAAATGGGTATATTTTGTATGTTTTCAGTGGGCATTGAATTTCGAGACTGAATAGTTGGAAAAGTATATATCCCATCGACTTAGAATCTTTTGTAAATTGATATAAGACAAATTGACATTAACTATGCCAATGTTGGAGTTTGTGTATACAATAGTGACTTTGCCAGAGGCTGTGAAAATCCTGAAAATAAAAGTGAATAGTTCATTTGTTCCACATTTTACCACCTGCTGGCGCGAACAGTATGCATTGGACAATGAGTGTGATGCTAAATTCATAATCTACACCAAAAACTGGCACGTGCGTGTTGAATCATAAGGTCTGTCATTGAGTCAACTGGCGTGGTTTCGATTCCCGGGTAGTACGTGACAAGGAGAAGGGTCGCCTGTCCAACTTCGTGAGTTTTCTCCGGGTCCTCCGGTTTCCTCCCACTGCTAAAAACCCCTACGCGCAAGCGAATTATTGATATAAAATGATACAATATGTTAGTCCCGAAATGACCTGGTTTGTGTCGAGTGAACGTTAAACCCCATCCCCCCCCCCCCTCGCAATAATTACTTCTAGTGAACAGATTTCGATAAAACTTTCAATATAAGCTGTTCATTGTGTTCCATCTCCAGAGGAGGACGATCCCAATGTCCAATGATTTTTTCCTTAGTTATTCATTTTACAAATAACCAAACCCACACACTGCTTTCAATACTTTCATAATTGTTTTTACTTAAATTGTGAATAGTGATTGACAGTAATACGAATATTCCCAATAAACAGCCAGTAATAATATATAGTTTCCATAAGTATGTGTTATAGTTTATTAGTTTCCGAAACGTTTCCCAATTCAATATTACCGATAACACGCGACCTGTATTCTTGGGGTGACGTCAACAAGATCATGTTTCAAGATTTACCTTTATATTGTAGTATATGACGTACATGATGTAGCAATATCATTGCCCCGGCAATGTTTTCTTAGAAAGGACATCATGTAATGCTGTCGAAGTCTTTAATATATAGAGGATATTTGTCGTTTTAGAGTGAATAACATATTTTATTTCATCTCTAAGCAAGAAAACGTTTATATTTTCACTCATGCTACGCATTCGTGAAAATATAAGTTTTCTTGCTTCTCGATGAAATAAAATATGTTATTCACTCTAAAACGACAAATATCCTCTATATATTAAAGATGCATTATTTAAGACTTCGATAAAGAGATGGTCGTTCTTGCTATAATAGTTCAAAAACAAATAATGCACAATGAATATATTGAAAATTTCATTGAAATTACTTTATTTTGAGCGAAGTTATCACTGTTTAAAATTTTGACAAGATGTGGCATAGATTGTTTATTATCTTAGCAACGGTTCTTGTGGATTTTTTGATGCTGTTGTACAGACAGTGAAACACATGTTGGCATGGCATAGTCGTACGGAATCTTATTCTATGCAGCAATTTCCTCTATGGCTGTTACGGGAAACAACGAATTTCGACAAAGACATAATTAGTACCAGATTAATTGACACTTAGATAGTAAGTGCAAGGGAACTGCACTACACGTGAAACCGACAAGACAAACCGATGGATAAGGTAAATTACACAGACATGACAAGAAATAAACAACAAAATAATTTTATAGATAAGTCATTATAAAATTTACATATCCCATGATATAACTATGTACCTTATGTCCATATGACAAAAGAGACCACAAGAAATGTTATGGTGTCGTCGTAGATAATTTTAGCGGTTTCAGGACTGCTTGTCAATGTTAATAACACAGAACTTTCCTTCCAATTATGCAAAAAGTTTATTTGTATTATACTATATTAGTCAATTTGACTCCTCAAAAGGTAATGAGCATATAGTGTCAACATTACATACAAATAAAACCGGCAAAACAAACCTGTGGACAAGACAAACTACAAAGACATAAAAAAGAAAAAATTAAGTTAATAATTCAGATGGTTCGTCGTAAGCGTCCATTGCGTTGTACAATCTATGGTCTGTTGTCATAAACGGCTACCGCTAATCCAAACCCTAACCCTGACCTACAATCTCGCCAACAATCACGTGCCCTAGCCTTATTTACATCTCAGCGACCTTGACAAAAATTGAGCTGGCCTTAACAAATAGATTTAGCCCTGTAGTCATACCGACCAATCTGTTTCACAGAGGATTAGGAAAGTCTTCTAATCTGTTTTACAGAGGATTACGAAAGTATTCTAATATCTCTGTAAAAGATGACTACCTTCAACACGTGATTTCTCATCACGCGGCGTCAATCATTGGCTTAATGGCGCGTGCATTTTTTTACATAAGACATTACTGGTTCGGGCGGAATGGAGCCTTTTACTCATTTTAATACCCATTTACACTAAATAGGAAATATTTTTTACCTACAAATACGCCAAACGTCTTTATTTATTTTTCTAATACATAAAAAAAATGTTTTAGAATTTAATTTGTCGGAGGAAAAAAGTTAATATTTGTGGTTTATTAAGTCGCATCGATGTCATCCTTATCAGTGATTGTCGCGGCCTAGCGAATATTTACTGCTGATCAGTGTGCATACCGACTTCATTCAAAATAAGGGAAGCAACCGAATATTTCCTAAACGTTGCATAATACTGGAGTGAGTCATGCTCGGCTATGTGCTACAAGTACAAGAAATGTCAATGTAGATACATTGAAGGAATACACATTAATAAATAACCATTTTTATGAATTGTAGTAAAAGGCCAAGTAAAATTAAAAGGCTTTATGTAGTTTTCAAATAGGGATCAAAACACGATAAGCCTTTGAACAAAAAAAAGGTCTATTAATTACAAAGTTAGGTTGGTTTAATGTTGAATTGAATGGAACGACTCAAGTTTATACTATCTGCATGTTAGCAACTTTTTTGATCATTGCTTGATAAAGATACTTTGTATTTAATAAAATCAGACGTAGACTGGTAAATCCATGAAGTTGTGTTAATATACTGAATTCATTTTGTTGACCAGTATAGTTATATGTTGTAAACTCGTGACTAGTGACTACGACAATAACCCCAACGGTTTACAATTCTGCTTTATCTCTCATAGCTTGGAATTGATTTATAGGACCCACGGCACATTGGGATAATATGTAAATCAAACCAGCAGACAATAATGTTTCATATGTGATATGTATTTATATTTCTGGTGCTTTTATAACAGTGTTTGAACTCGGTGTTATATAAAGGCTAGTATGTGAGGAAACAACGCAGATTTTTCTGGAACTCGAAGCTCCTGTGTTGTTTGGATTTCTGTTTCACATGCCTAGAAGTTTGTGTCTAAAACAAGGCAGATTTTTCTGTAACTCTTGTGTTGTTTGGGTTTCCGTTTCACCTGCTTTGAAAAGAATACAAAGAAGTTTTCTTCGTTTCTAAGATTGAGTAAGTTGGTTATATATTATAGATTAGTCTCTTAAATAATAACTTCTATATTAAAGATACATTATGTAAGATTTAGATAAAGAACTAGCCATTTTTGCTATAATAGTTCGAAAGTAGATGATGTAAAATGAATAATTTGAAAATTTCATTCAAATTACTCTATTGCAAGCGAAGATATTAGCCTTTGAAGGTTTGACAGGCGTGTGCAATAATTTCAACCACCGCACTGGTTGATCGAAGCTGAGTCTCGGTCCTCCATATTTGATTAAATCCAAGTATCGCTGAACCATTCTAATCTATTTAATATCGGAGAAATCTGATGCCATCGAGAGTTGATTAAGGCCTGGATCAGTTAATTAATGTCTAATTAATACTTTAGAAAACATTTCAGGCCTAAAGAAAGACCTGCAATAGGCAGATTTAGTTCTTGCATAATGCATGTTTAAATGAGCCAATGGCACATACTATAGAATAATTAATCTTCTTGTGTCCATTATTTTATCGGTTAGCACGTGCGCGCTGTATCATACGGTCTGTCATTGAGTCAACCGGCGTGGGTTCGATTCCCCGGTGGGCCTGTCATTGAGTCAACTGGCGTGGTATCGATTCCCCGGTTGTACGTGACAAAGAGTTGGGTCGCCTGTCCAACCTCGTGGGTTTTCTCCGGGTCCTCCCGTTTCCTCCCACTGCTAAAGAACCCTACTTGCAAGCGAATTATTGAAATAAAACTGAACCGTGTGTTAGTCCCGAAATGACCTAGTTTGTGTCGAGTGGACGTTAAACCCCATTTCTCTCTCTCATTATTTTATCGGAGTTTAAAATAAGGACGTTTACCACAGTTCACTGGTCTAGATAATATTATCTAAACTGTTCTAAAATGTTGGATTTGATATAATATGCTGTGTACGAAATGGAATGATGTTCAAACGGTAATTTGGAAAACTCTCAGGTAGTCCTTCTATAGCGTTAAAGGAGCTAAAGACCCAACTCAGTTTTTTCCAGAGTATTTGAATTTAAAACACGAATTTCAATCGATATGTTATCTTGCCCTGAAAAATTTGGATCCTAATAGTGAAAATTTTAAAATCAGTACACGAGTCGTGTATTCTATGGTTTAGTGTGCCATTTGCAATGAACACAGAAAAACATTTACCCTACAAAACAATGGAGAAGTAATTTGTAATAGCTGGTTCAGGTATTTTGCCGAACATAATTGATTAGAAAATACATATACAAATCACTTTGCATACATTCATATTATCTGTGCTTTTAAACCCACTTTCAACTGTTTTAAGGTCAATACAAATGTTCATGGTCTTATATCCAATAAATAACCAGTTTACATATGCATATTATGTCAGTTATCAAAAACGCATTGAATAAATTATATTTAATAAAAGAAAATAATGACTTAAATCAAATTTATTTTATGATTGTGTATTAATTATTCAATTTATTTACATGTCAAAAGTTTGCAAAACAATTTGTAATTGCAACACCCTCGTTGGTCTTTATCTGATTTGAATGGTTCCATAATTTGTTTTGAAGCTACTTATAAGTACGGAACATCAATAACTTTAATCAAGATGCCCGATGGGGATTTGTGATTTCTTATTAAGACTTGTAATCAATATTTAAGAGCCCTTTAACCAGAATCGAAAGTTCTCCAGAAGTACTCATTTCCAGTCATTGCCATCTTTTATTTCATTCGTTACTAATGCTAGAACAGTTCATAAATGTACAACCCGAAATATAAATAAAGACGCCGGATGTAACATAGACCAGAGCAACATGTGGCAACATCTTGCTCAAAAGCACGTATATTTTTCACCATTCATCGTTACCACCGTACTAGTCATTCGATTCTTAGCCTGGCTTCTCAATTTTTAAATTGAATCATTCAATGGCCTAACCGATCTAATCTACTTAAAATCGCAGCCACCCGAGATTTGATTGTCGTTATATCATGTTATTAAATATCTAGTTAATAATTTATGAGACATTTAATGTGTCTCATTAAGTAACACGGTGGCTCGCTAACCAGGGGGTCTTGGGGTCCCACATAATAGAACCCGTGACAGTTGGAATTCGAAATAAGAGTAGGCCGTTGCACCGCTGTCTGGGCAAAAATCTACCCTATATCTCACTGTATGGCATATTCTCGTCTTCATTAGCCCAGTCGGTGCTGAAACTGAAAAATGGGACGCTAGACCCCTTTTTATTCACTTAAAGTCGAAATAATTTATAGTTTTGCAACAACTTTTGTAACTAGACATCGGGCAACGAGTGGCAACTGTGACTGAAGTTTTTATTAAATTACTGATATTTGATTAACCTGAAAACCTCGATGTTAGTCTGAAGGGTAAGGATGAATAATGCTCGATAATATTATAAATTTGTACTTCAAAATCAGAAATCAAAATACACAATCAAATTGGTATATTTTGATGGGGCTTTTATTTCGTTTATATTGTATATTAAAATTGTATTGTATATCAAAATTGTATACTTGTATGAATTAGTAGCGAATAAAGATCGCGAAAGGAACAACACTGAGGAATAAATGACTAGAGTCAAGATTAAACTAAAAATTAATGATGAATGATTCACTGACACTGGGTCTCACGCCACTTTACAATCTGTTAAATGATTTAGAGACCATTCTTCCCTTCCAGATATCACGAATTGTATACCTTAGTAGGTGTCATATCTAGAATACCTAATGGTATATCCTAGTATCAGATATTTTCAACACCGACCAGGTTTAGTTTTTTCTTATAACATATATTTTCCGCCATTTATTCCAATACCAAAAGACAACAGAATTCTATTATATGGATATCCTTGTTTTAGTCTAAATTGGTTTAGTCATTACCATATATGGGAGCAGCGGTGGCTGTGTGAGTAAAGCACTGGTTTTCTATTCGGGGTTGGCCGAGAAAGTTCTCGGGAAATTTCGGCGTGGTTTCCCCTTGGCGGAGATGCAAGACGTCAGTCCTGACAAGGAACAGCGTCCAGTCATTCGGGTAAAACAAAAACCGAGGTCGTTACTCGTTACAGAAAAACAGGATCTTAAATCCCATTTTATTCTAACATACTTTTAAAGTATAATATATACATTATTTCGTTTCAGAAGTACAATAAGAAGTTGTATGACGTTTTTCTGGAATGCAATGGAAGAAGATGATTATATTTACCCCCGTGATCCAGTCGTCCCCTATTTGGCCTTTGATGTGATATACTATTCTACCATCCCTGTGCTTTCCTTCTTTGGAAATTTATTTACTTTTATTATAGTGTGCAAAATTGCTCAATACCGCCAAAATGTTCAGGATGCCTTGGTTGGATCTTTGGCTCTCAATGATGTTCTCACTGTCATCATTGTCATGACACCGACATTAATTGCCGAAATGCGAGGTAAATATTTTGGATCTCGGATTTTTTGTGAATTCAGTGCTGTGACGACTGTTTGGTACATCTATACAACATTCGCTATCATTGTGCTCATCAGTGTTGAGAGATGGCTGGCCATTTCTAAACCATTCTTATACAAACGTTTAGCCATTACGCCTATTCATATTAAGGGATTTGTCGGATTGCAAGGATGTTTTTGTCTTTTACTGGCCTCCATACCTCTCTTTATCTATCCAGTAACTTTGAAAGCCGGGTGGTATTGTGCCATGACGAATTTTATTCGAACTAACATGACAACCGTGATCAATGGTTCCATATTTGTAAATGTGACCCAAACTGTTGCCTACCCGGTTCCTGAAGTCATTTATATAAAAATAGCCTTTTTATTCGTGGGAATAGTGCTCCTTGTGACCTGTAACATAAGCATCGCATATCAGCTCACTAAAAAGAAAGGCTTTGATATATGTTCAAACAGACTTGAAAGACAGTTTGCCAAATTGATGGGCGTGGTTGCTGTTATTTTCTTACTCACATGGCTGCCTAACTTGGTAAATAACTTTTTATTCATGCAATATGTTGCCCGCGATAGCATCTAAGATATTGATTTATTACGAATATTGTTGGCTTGCTTCCCGTTGCTCGAAATTGATTAAGTCATTAACTTACAATACAACCTGGAAATATAAAAAGATAGACCCGGAAAATGTGGAAATACACCCACACATAGCTATAGACAGCAGCTTACCCGAAATGATCATTCATGCTATCCAAAAATCTAATCTATATCGTGTTCACAAGCTTGAAAAACAATGTTAAATAAATGTAGCCTCTTCTATAATCGCGCCCCTAAAACGGAAGGTCACGGCACGCTAAATATCGAATTTGAAAAAAAGACCCGCGAAAGACTACATCTATATACCGTATGACGTTAACAAGGTTTTTGCGGATCACTGAATAATTATAGTCTTCGTCCGCTCATGACCCCAATGCTTCAATCCAAAATTTTAAAAAAAATCATACGGATACTATAACATTTATTAGGTTTTCGGAAAAGGGGTATAACTGTTCTTTTCCAGCGTGGTTTCCCCTTGTCTGCAGGACGGAGGGCCTGACAAGGACAGCTGTCTAGTCGTTCAGATGGGACGAAAAACCGAGACACCGTGTACACATTGGCGTGCACGTAAAAGATCACTTGGCAGTTGGAATTCGATATAAGAGTAGGCCGTAGCGCCGCTGTATGGCGTATGCCCGTCTTCATTAGCCCAGTTTAGGAGCAGAACAGTAGGACGTTAAAGATGGGTTCCCAGAAAAGTATTTATCGGGTGGTTATTTCCAATAAAAGTATGGTAATTTTGGTATATATGGAAAGTAGAGATATCCAATCTTACTAGAAAAATACTGGATTCCCCGAAAAACACCCATGGAGCGTATACAGGACAAAATGTAAGGGTTCCCCTAATCAACAGCCCGACGATTAGGAATTTCTGCACGCATGATGTCAAAGGTCACACGCGAACATTGAGCGCTTGATGTGCAAGTTGATAAACTTTATGAAGAGTTAGACGTACAACACTTTCTGAGATAAAAATGACGGAAAAAGACGCGGGTAGTGGATAATCCGAGAATTTAATTATGATTCGATATTTGTAATAAATAGTAAGCAATTAAAGACAACATCGTCTTATGTATACAATGAATTCTCCTCTGACTTCCAAGAGAGGTAAGTCACGTGACGTAAACATGACCTGGTTTGATCGAATTTTTATGGCAGGACATTCGTTCGCAATTACAATGTTTGAGAAGAATTTGAAGCAAAGTTATGACAAATTAATTAATTTGAATATGTTTTTAGTCCATATATACCATTAAATTACCCATCTTTAAGCCCCATTTCATTTCATTATAACTGTTCAACAGAAGGTCTTGGAGCGCTTAATATAGATATAGTTCATCCTCTCATGAGTATGACCCCAATGCGTCATAGCAAATTTCTACAAAATTCCACCGTTAAAAACTGCAGCGAGGGTATAAAACTATAATACGGACACACTATTAAGACTGCTAAAATTAGGATAACTGTCAACCAATAGAATAACTGCAATTTGAATAAAGATGATGTTTCCTTCCAGGTTAATTAGGCAGGACAGAAGGACGTTAAACTTCATTTCATTTCATTTATATTATGGTAAATTCAGTACATATCTTCTTGGTTAGAGTGATAACGCCCCTATACGCTTTAACCATAGACAGTTTGGCCTTCATATTTTCTGAAGCGGTAGATGTGATAGGATTTTGCTTAGGCAATACATTCATAGATCTATTCGAATAATATGGGACTGTCCCATACAGGTAGGGGCAGGAATTCTAAGGAAAAATTTACCCGTTAACGCTTAGTCTATGATGTACTGCATTTTCAAACAAACATTTAGCTAACAATATATAATTAAAATTGGGCAGATGGCCATTTGGCCCGAGGTTACCTTTGGCTCCACACGTTCTGCCTTACTCGTCACCTTATACTAGTGACCACCATCTTTCTCCCTTACTTTTTCCAGATTGTCTATCATTTTTCATATTTTTGGGACCTTTACATCACTAACAATTCTTTTGTTGAATTGTTTCACCGGCATCAAAGTGTATAAGTTTTACCACAATGGAACGTTTTCGCCTAATCTGGACAACAATTCTGATAATATCGATTCTAACATCAATAGGAAACCTTGGCCTAAACATTTCCTTTAATTACTTGATAAAATCTCTCTTTAATGAATTAATATTACGGTAATCATGTTGTATGACCAGGTAGTGTGGGTTTATAATGATACATTAAACAATACAATAACTAGACCATGATTTGTTTTATTGATTAACTTATTACTAAACAAATAGACACTAACAATCTCCGATAATGTGTAGTTAACCCATAAATACTAGTTATATGGTATTCAGGAGAGGGTCAAATGGCAAATATATTTTATATGATTATCCTTCGAAACGTAACATACGTATAAGATATTATCATCCGTATTGAAATTTCTCCACATAATTACCCACCACCAACTGAAGTTACAGAAAAGGGTTTTAGTGTCCGCTTAGCATAACTATGTTATTTTAAAACTACCATAAGGTAGGACTCTTTTTCAGCGACAGGAAATTAGAGAAAACCTCAAGGTTTGCAAAGGGATCGTTTCCACAGATAACGATGACCAAACTGGTGGTTGGCGCTCAGGAATAATTAACATGATTTATTGTGTGATTATAAGGCAATGGGGGTATATACTTACATATTTTCTGTTCTTAATGAGAGACATTCAACACTAACTAGGTTATATTAGCTGAATTAAGACGACGTTTGGCAGGCAATTATATTCCTTGTCACGTACACGCTTTGATGTCAAGTCTTATGTCAAGGAATTACCTTTAAGACTTATATCACAATAGTGCGCTATTCGGCAAAGACCCGTTATGATTTATAAAGCTCGGGATCTCCAAATTAATTATGATTATGTCCAAACAATATTATATGATGGTAATTTGTTGGGCTATTTAGTTATTATCCAAATAAATAGTCAATAACCAGTGAAGGAAAGGAGGAAGCTTAATGGCAATTGTTCTATCTAGTGTGATATATTAAGGTGAAAACTGCGGAACTGTCAGATATTGATTGTTTTATAACCTTAGATGGTTAGATTAAAGAACATAAAACGATTTGCCTGTAAGTTAGTAATCAGAGATGCGATCAGAGAATAGGAGTAAGAAAAAGACTGGTGTCAAATTGATTGATTTCAAAATATCTGTATCCTAACTTTCAGTCCAAAAATTCTAAGCTGTCTTTAGCCATTTCTACTTGGTGAAGTTATACTGACAAATGTTCATTAAGTCTCTCGTACAAATGAATAAACCCGTTACGTAATCCCGTTATGCAAATCTAGCGGTCACCTCCGAACGGTTTCATATTTAGATATTTGGGAGCAGCGGTGGCTGAGTGAGTATATACGTTCGCTCACTGACCTGGCGGTCCCGTGTTCGATCCCGGTGTTGGCCTATATAGTTCATCGTGATTTTCCGGCGTCGTCCCCCCTTGTTAGTGATGCAGGAAACAGGGTCTGTCATGACAAGGGACAACGTATAGTCCTTCGGATTGTACGAAAAGCCGAGATCCCGTGTACATATATATATATCGGCGTGCACGTAAAAGAACCCTGGCAGTTGGAATTCCCCTATAACACACTATATGGCGTATGCCCGTCTTCATTAGCCCAGTTGGAGCAGCACAGTAGGACGTTAAACCCCATTTAATTTCATTTATTTATGTGTTTTAATTTTTCGAACAAGGTCAATCGGCTATATCGTCACATTTGGTTTTCATAGTTAAATGGATTTATGAACTGTGAAATGTAAATGTATATATTTCAGTTTGCTAGATTCGCCTGTGCTAATGGTTTAAATAAATGTGATGTCGTAGAATTCTATGCTATGAGGGTAGTGATGATGGGTGTGGCAGCTAATCCACTGGTTTATGGTTTTATGAAGAAAACGTACAGACGGGGCTATATTTATTTAATAAGAATGACTGTTCATTATGCCAGTTTTAAACTTATATCAGCACCACCTTGTAAGTATGATATAGGATGACTAATTGCTCACAGACATAATCCTCTGTAGATGTCATTAACTTCTTAAGGTAGCTTTCTGGTCAATAAGAGTATCAGTTTCAAAAGGGTTCAGATAGCGTTCAAATACAGCAGTACTACGTGAAAGATGGAGGCTTGACAGACGCTCTAATAGCAGCTAATATAACTCTAAAATCGCCGTGAGCCAATCAGGGAACATTTAAGCTCACTACTCTGACCCAGCACACGTTTTCAAAATACGTTATGAAGGCAAGTTTTATAAGTACAAATGGGAATTAAAAGATGACTCCACGAAACGCTTACCAAATGTACAATCCAAAACAATTGAAATTCCACAGGATTCTTCCATATGAACCAATTAGCCATTTTTATTTCAAATTCGGTTAAGCGCCCTTTCCTCAATGGCGTTTACAAGATTTCATGAATTTAAAGTAAACTAGACAATAACTCGGAAATACGTTAATATTTTTTGAATGATGATTGAATTCCGTTCTCTTTTGAAAAGTTTTATGCTTGGTCTTGCCCGTAGGCCTGTCTTCTGAGTTTCTGTTATTCTTTGGCGCATTTCCCCCGCACTATAAATATACTTTTTAACCAAACAGTAGCGTATCTTGGTAATGGATCGATGGAGTGACCTCGTGCTCGATTCAATTTGTACGTTACACGACTAATTACATTATCAAATCAACTGAAATCAAAAATAATTTTGACAGTGATGGTCCAAGATTGCCAAGGGGAAAAGGATTCTTCCGGGTAGAAGGTAATGAGGCAAAATATCAAAGCCTACATTTGATTACGTAGCAGGGATGTAAATATAAATATATATGACGCTTGGATTGTTATTTTGAGAATGCGCAGTGACATATATTTGGTGGAGCCATATTGATTCTGTGCTCGAGGTTGTGTGTTTAATTCTGGGTAGGAGTGACTCTTCGCAATTACCCGCACGATTCTTCTATTAGTGGAAGGGATATTATTCTCTGAATTCAAATTTGGATGTCCTTATAGAAAACGAACTAATATCAACAAACAGGCTATTTTAATTTTAATCTTAATTTGGGTGCATGACCTACAAATAATTGACATACATATAATGTCGAAAAATTCATACTTAAAATGGTACATGCTTGCATTCATTTTCTTGAACTTTATTATCCCAATACAGTTTAAATTTTTATTTTCGAGATGCTTTTTTTTTTTTTTTTTGTCTTACTACTCTTTGACTTACGACCCGGTGGTGATATAGTATAGTAGGGATGGAAACGAATATTGAAGTAACCCTGTGTTTGTGTGGAGTCTTACACTTTAATCTCACCACTTGCCTATAAGACGAACTGTTAATAAAGTACGCCAAACAACTTTATTGATTGAAGCATGACATCTTATATTTAAAGTAAATGTTATTTATTTTCTAGATGGCGAAGAAATATTTGATCTACGAGAAGGCGTCGCTAGACGTCCTAATTCAGTCAGCAGATCTTCTGCCAAATTACCCAGTGAGAGTTCAGCTTAAACAATATACAGAATCTGTCAAATTTGTGGACATCTTTGAAATTCTATGAGAAGAAATATTTGTCTGTCTGTATGAAAGACTGGGTCACGGTTTCTATCTAAAGGATGTCGCAGTGTTGGGGTCCATTTAGTCAGATTTTTGGTAAAAAGTGCAAGGTGCAAGATGTATTATTATTATTTTCGTAATCTATGAACATAATATTAAGGGTGATAAATAAAGATGACTAAAAGTTATTGTTATTTAATCCTATTTATTTCTTCCCCTACCTAGAAAGGTCAATTAGTATGTTATACCCCCGCTGTCCTGAGATTTATGTAATCTATTATGTATATGATTGAATTCAATGTTGATCATTGCGTGATAAAGATACCTGTTAGAGTATTGAAAGGTCGCAGGCAATAAACTAAGAAGAAGTATATCCATAAAGTTGTGTTGTTGTGTTATTATGAATGTTAAATATCTGCTTCTAAAGTCTGGTGCACACTACAGCCTGGCGCATACTACACGACGACTTGGGCGATTTCGGTTGCCGATATCAGATATGTTTGATATGATCGCCCAAGTCGTCGGTTCGTCGGCAACAAATCGTGTAATGTGCTACTCACCTCAAGACAAGTTAAGTGACAAATAAGGAAATAAATTCATTTTTGGTTATTCTTCTCATGTGACATAACCACACACGAGGTTTCTAGGATTTTTTTTCTGTTGCATGTATATGTGGCGGGGGTAATCTTTCGTTTCATTAGTTTCCCTATGATTATAGAAAATTACTCACATTTTTAAGCCTAAACCTTACTTTTTCCCTCATTTACTTACATGGTTTAAATGTTAAAATAATTAAATTAAGAAAATTTACTTAATTTAATTATTTAGCATCCTATTTAACCTTTATTTTTAGTAAATCCTAACCTTTAAAATTTGTTAAAGGTATCCCTTGGTCTGTTTGGCTTTCCCTGGTCAGTGCGTACCTAAAAACGACCATTTCCAAGGATAATCCATCCAACTGGAAACTTCTTCTTCTTCCAAAGAAATCCTTACATCAACGACACCAAAACATAGAGGATTGTGACACTACAGTCAATTAGGAACTAACTTTGACTTCACGTTGTGTATAAAATTATTTCCAGGGATCAATTGACACGACGATGCCTGAAGGGAAATTTAACTCCTCTGTTTCTTATATAGAAAGTATAGATGCGTTAGCTAATAGGGCGGGGCAATTACCATTTGTGGATAAGTGTTTCGTATCGGCACCGTTTTACGTCAACATTATTCTATTTAATTGGACTAATCTGTGCACGAGATGGCTGATCGATAGTACCCTACTTTCAGCAACTGGCAGCGACAGGAACCGTCTGTGAGTTAGTCTAAGAAACTTGAATCTTGCAAAATACCTACTTAGCCTATTTCTCGTTGTCATCCATTTGTTTAACCACTTCAATATATTAAACAGAGCGCCTTTCATAGAACTAAAATAAACCCTATAGTATTACAATATAACGTAATGAAAGTAAGGTTTCGACTCCCTGTATTATTATGGGTGATAACTAAGATGGTTAACGTTTATTTTTAGTTTATCTTATTTATTCCAGCACCTAACCTGAGCGGGTAAAAGACTAAGCGGTCATCATGCACAATCATAAAAACTACAATGCACAGACAACGAGAAAACCATGCATGCTAATGTCTAGACTTCCGATAATTTTCAATATTCTGTGTACCTTGTTAAAGATACATTATGGGAGATTCGATAACGAGTTGGCAGTTCTCACTATAATAGTTAAGGCGATTTTGCTGAAAATTTCATTCAAATTGATCCACTATGAACCGAGAACTAAGCGGTTGAAATTTCCGGCTAGCCTTGGTCATCACTAAAGTCGGGACGGTAAACAACATAGTCTCGATTATCCATTTAATCGTTAAATCGTGAAGGAAAGTTATGCAGTAAATCGGCCAATAATCCACTAAGGATCGCAGGCTAACGATGTCATCTAGAGTTGATTACGGTCTGGATAGGTTAATTAATGTCTAATTAATAATTAAGATAACATTTAAGGCTTAAAGAAAGACCTGCAATAGACAGATTTAGCTCTTGCATAATGTATGTTTTATCCATTGCTAAAGGAATGGGGGATCACGTGGCTAAGTGGGTAAGACGCTGGCTCGCTAGCCTGGAGGTCGGGTGTTCGATCCCTGCATTGGCCGAGAAAGTTCATCCAGATTTTCCGGCGTGGTTCCCCCTTGTCAGTGATGCAGGATGGAGGCCTGACAAGGACAGCTGTCTAGTCGTTCGGATGGGACGAAGAACCGAGGTACCTTGTACACATTGGCGTGCACGTAAAAGATCCCTTGGCAGTTGGAATTCGATTTGAGACTAGGCGATAGAGCCGCTGCCCGGGCAAAATTTCCCTCATAGCACACAGTATGGCGTATGCCCGTCTTCATTAGCCCAGGTTAGGAGCAGAACAGTAGGACGTTAAACCCCATTTCATTTCATTTCTGCTAAAGGAATATCAGTCCAATAATGACTGAATTCCGTTCAGTATTTACAAAGATAAGCCAATCCCCGGAATTATCTACTGTTGATATTTTGAATATGTTTTCTTAAACATACTTTATGCAAGAGCCAAATCTGCCTATTGCCGGTCTTTCTTTCGGCATGAAATATTATATAAACTATTAATTAGACATTTATTAACATGAAAAGACCCTAATCAACTCTCGATGTCATCGTATGTGTCGGATTTTCTCTGGATTTGAATACATTTTGTGATGGATGATTTAACGTAAAAATGGATATCGTACCGACTATAGTAATGTTGAACGAGGCTAGACCTAAAATTCAATCGCTAATATCTCGGTTCAGAGTAGAGCAATTTGACTGAAATTTTCAGCATATTCTCTTTACGTTTTTTATATTTTAACTATCATAGCTTTATCTAATCTCTGTAACATCCCTTTAATGTCGACCTAAAAACACGACGGAGAAAAGTTGGTTTTATAGCCGATGACCAAACAGGAGTATGTCAGTAGTTTGTGTAACAACAAGACGTAAGTGATACAGACTAATTTGACCAAATTTCTTATAGAAGTTAATTATTCGATATAACGTCCTACTTTTCTGCACCAACCGTTCTAATGGAGACAGGATTTTTTGCTGCTCAACACTAATTGATGATTTAATCCAAAAATGGATAATCGGGGGTTCTAACAAACCCTAAAACTCCGGGCCTCGTGCCATCTCACACACAAAAACATACTGCAAAATACTCCTAATTGATTCGGGAGGCTTGTATTTTTCAATGCAGTAGACCCCACACTCCCATTCCTACCCATAGGTAAGGTATGCAACTGCCTAAAACCCGTTATGCCACTGTTTTAGAGAGTTAGTTCGTCAGAATAGATTCTTTAATATACTATTCAAAAAAAGTAGGGGATATTTGATTTTGGGGGCATAATACTAAAATATGCAAATGACTACGAAAAAAGTCACTATAGAACCTAACAGAAGAAACATTTCCAGTTACATGTGACGCCCAAACGCACCAATAGCTACCGCATGGAATGCAGGTGATGCTTGGGATCATCATGGGGGTCCAACCCAAGATTTGCACGACTCTGACTTTGAATGTTACAGTCATTGTGGCATTGAATTCAAGGGTGGAAACATCAGTTTAATTGTTTTAGTGACCAGAAAACAAATTTTGATATGCGTCGGCTTACCCAAAATGAAAGGTTACGTGCCCTTGGCATGCTACAGATCGGCACAACACAGGCGGTTGTGGCGCGGAAGATGAATGTTTCTCAGTCTGTCATAAGCAGGCTATGGTCCAGATACCGTGATACACAATCTGTACAGGACAGACCACGCTCAGGTCGACCAAGGGCGACAACTCAAGCCCAGGATCGATTTATCCGTACCTTGGCCTTGAGAAATCGTGTCATCACAGCAAATCAGATCAGCGCTCGTCTTCAAACAGACACTAGTGTGAGAGTGAGTGGCCAGACGATTCGGAATCGACTGCATAGGGGTCACCTTCGCGCCCGACGTCCTCGCGTGATCCCTTGTTTGAGAGATCATCACATTCAGGCAAGACGTCGTTGGTGTAGGGATCGTCAACACTGGGATAATCGACGCTGGAGCAATGTGATGTTTTCAGATGAGTCAAGGTTCACTGTTGATTTTTTGGACAGACGTAGGAGGGTGTGGCGTCGTCGAAACGAGCGCTTCCAAGACGTTAACGTCATCAGACATGATCGATTTGGGGGTGGTTCTGTTATGGTGTGGGGAGGCATCACTGTTGCTGGAAGAACGGCTTTACATGTTGTTGCAGGGCGTGTTACAGGCCAGTACTACCGGGACAACATCTTGGCAGTCCATGTTGTGCCGTTCGCACGACGTCATGGCCGCCGTTTCATCTTCCAGGATGACAACGCAAGATGTCACAGGGCCAGGATCGTTACAGGTTACCTCCAACAACAGAACATCACCACATTACCTTGGCCAGCACTGAGTCCCGACCTCTCCCCCATCGAGCATGTCTGGGACATGCTTGGACAGAGGTTACGTCAACGTCAACAACGTCCTGCCAATGTCCAAGAACTTGCTGCTGCGTTGCAACAGGAATGGGACAATCTGGACCAAAATGACCTTAGACGTCTCATTAGGAGTATGCCACGTCGGATCAATGCTTGTTTGGCAAACAGAGGAGGATTTACCCGTTACTGACTTGGTTGTGATGCTGTGGTAACTTTGCTGTTTGACCCCGGGTATCATTTTACCCTTATAATGGTCAGTCTGTGCCTTACTTAGTCTAACGATCATTTGGAATAAATCGATGAATGTGAACTTCATTTCATTTTGTCATTTGTTTCTTCGTCAGTTTCATTAGGTGACTTTAATAACACTTAAAAATCAAATATCCCCTACTTTTTTTGAATAGTATATCACCGATTCGCTTGTCACTTTCAAAAGCTTAAAGCGTGTTATGTGACAACAAATATTCCAAAATTAAATTCTTTGATCGAGCAGTAGGCTGTAACAATAACATGCTACTTGTAATACTACTTCAATAATTCGAACGTTGTAACTTATCAGATAAATAGTAAATTCAAGACAAAAATAGAAAGATATCACTTTGGAATCGGTCATGGTTTAAGTTTACCACAAATATCATTATAGTGATTAGATTGGATTGCTTCAATTAATATGTTACAACAAATTTTCCAAAATCTCCGAAGACAAGAAAAGACTTGGAATAAACCATTATTAACATTAACCACCGGTGATTCACAATTGATTTGTATTGTTAATTATATATATATATTCACCCGAGAATTGTAATTGACAAGCATCAATCTAGTTAATGTTATCTATTAGAGACACTACATAGCATAATACATGTAATTAACAAATTTTCTCTAGGGAATTACAATGGTTATATAAATTTCGTTATATAATTTTAAAAAACATATGACCTTACATACTTAACCCCTCTTCCCTGTATTTATAAGTTTTCCATATGTGAGTACTGCCGATGTACACCGGTCCAAAGGCTTAAAGGCTGGGGTATGTTTGGTCATGTTGCGGGGTGAAAACAAAACGAAAACCCAATCTGGAGACTGATCAAACTTCCAGTGATATACCTATCATGATAAAATGGATATGTGCATGAAACTGGGTTGATTATATAGGCCTACATTATACGCCGTATATTCCATTGTTAAGTCAGATTAACCATATTTTGATGTAATAATGTCACGAAGATGACAGATGTGGCGGCTTCTTTGATGATCAAATAAAAAATGTTAATCCCGTAAACAGTCAGTTGCTGTTTAATTTAAGCTCATAGTCATACGCATTTATAACAAAGGAGTACGTGCTTTACTGCAATCCTTTGTCTGTGATACCACAGACCAACCTTTTTGGACTTTTTTTTAATTTCTTTATATTACCTTAGCGCACGCACAGAGGTCTTTCCTGTGGGGGGAAATCGGAGTATCCGGAGTAAACCCACGAGTATGACAAAGCGCCCCAATCTCCAAGCCACATTAGCTAACACCAGGAAGCAAAACCACGGCCACAAGCCAGAGGTGGCCGGCCAGCTAGAATTCGAAGCGCGAGAGAAACCCCTTTTCCAAGAACCAGACAAGAGAAGGTGCAATATACCTGTGTAGTGTTGTAAATAGAAAAGATAGCCCACGTCATAACTCAGGAACGATAGGAGTTGTCTTCTCATAACCCAGTGCTTCAAACCAAATTTGCAAAACGATATCAGTTAAAAACTGTAGCCTCTATTGCGTTAACAGGGTTTTTGAAAATGGTGGGATAGCTCAGGAACGAAAGGTCACGGAGCACTTAAAATCGACAGGGATCATCCTCTTATGATAAACATCCGTTAAAAATTATAGCCCAAATTGAACAATAGTCGTTTACGTCTGCTTAGTCCATTTTAAACGTTTTTTATTTATTATTATTTTGTTGTTTGTGAATCGGCCATTACTAATTACTTCTGCATTGTCTTGTAGGATATGTTTTTCTTTATCCATTACAAATGGCACCATACAGAAACTATAGAATACACGACTTGTGTTCTGATTTTAAAATGTTTATTTTGTCTTTAATATTGAATATTAGGATCCCATATTTTTACGGCAATACAACATCAATATTGATTAAAATGGACCAATATTGAATTTTAATTGGTGTTTTTAATTTCGAGTTTTATGGAAAATACCGAGTTCCCGGTTTAACACCTTTAAGCAGAACTGTGTAAATTAGACGTCCAATTATAACAAACACAATAGGACACAGGATATAATAATAGACTATAATATATTATATTAATATACAACGATACATATACATCGCTGTAGTCTAAAATTCCGACAAATTTGAATGACAAACTTCATAATATCTCCTATAATTTCCTCGTTAAGCCATACCAATTTACACGAGCCACCTAAAGTCTTTATCCATCATTTACCTTTGGGGAATGGAACAAATATGGCTGGACAATTCAAATTTTAGAAGCCCAATTTAGGCTGAAATTCGACAAATTCGCTATCGAGATCAAAATCAGTTCTTCAAGGTCGGGTTTTTGTCATAATTAAAAATGTTTCAAAACAGGTTATAAAATACATGTATTACAACTTGCTTTACAGAGCAAGCATTTGTAATAGCCTACGGATATATACAAACTAAGAATGGGGTTTTCATAAATCCTGAAGGATGAATAGAATTTAATTCTTGCCTTGCCACAAGGCTGTCATCTATACTGTTATCGTCTATAAATTTAGGTATTGTGGTAAGGACGAATTTATCACACGAAATATGGGTTTAGTTTCTTGGTAAACGCGTGATGTACAAATCAAAATGGCCAACAAAACAACCTGACTTTTGAGAATTTTAAACCCATCATGTTTACAATGTAAATATAAAACCAACCAAGCCGACACATCGAGGGGGTGGTGGGTTGGTTCATTAACCAGTTTCAAACTACTTTCGAAAACTGTGAAAAAAAAATCTAGATGTTGTACAGATGTCGAATATATACCAATTGTGTCTTTAAACTACTGCCATGATACAAAGTATTGCTGTTTTAATAAAAGTCTTGGCATTATAATAGATGTCTTGACGGTGTAATCAAAGTCTTGGCGCGGTAATAAAAGTATTGAAGTTGCAATGGAAGTATTGAAGTTGTAATCAAAGGCTTGGTGGTGTAATCAAAGTCTTGCAGTTGTAATCAAAGTCTTGCAGTTGTAATCAAAGTCTTAGTGTGGTAATCAAAGCCTTCAAGTTGTGAACACATTCTTGGCGGAGTTATCAAAGTCAACACCGACACTGTTTCTTGCTGTATAGATGTTGTTGTCAACTATCATATAGATGTTGTTAACTATCAATATAGATGTTGTCAACTATCAATATAGATGCTGTCAACTATCAATATAGATGTTGCCAACTATCAATATAGATGTTGTTGTTGGGTCAAGACGTTGATATAAGTCTGTTTGTCAACTATCAATACTACATTTAATACGACTGGACCATGATAAAAGTTCGTCAACTATCACTATTTTCTTTAAAATGACTAGAAAATGATATAAGTTTGCCGGTTATCACTTTTATCTTTAATAAGACAGGGCGATGATATAAGTTTATCAACTATCACTATTTTTAATAGGTATAAGCGTAGGATTCCTTGCCAGAGTGTAAAGTTTTAACCAACGATTGATCACTAAACGACGCCTGCCAATAGGAGAATCCATCACGGCTTCTGTTAAAACACAAAAAATAAAATACATGTATATTATTATGTAATATATATATTTCATGGAAAATTTGACAAAAACTCTTCTAATTTCGGTTTGCAAATGATGGCTTTGAATATATAAAATGAAAAGTCGTCCTGCAAAGGGTTATACTTCAGAAATCCCTGGAATAGAAGTTTTGTTGAACAGTAACGGGTCTAGAACCTGTGAAATTGTTGGGGTGGGGGAATGTGGGTACGAGCGCCGTGGGTAAGCCACCCGAAGGGAGTTAATTTATTGGCATTTGAGGTCATTTCAGGGAGGATGGGAAATGGGACAGAGTTTTTCAGTCAATTCTGCCTGTTTCGTGAGAATTGACATGTCATTGGGTCAAACAATATAGTTGCTACCATGACGACGTAAAATCTGTATACTCGACTTTTCGGCGCTCATTGGTCGAGAAAAACCGGCTCCTATGCCTAGCCTCGGATAAGGGTTTTATGGGAGAAATTAGCGGTTGTACAGTCTGTCGCCCCAAGGCCCACGCGCTAGTGATACTTTTAACTGGGCGGTTCACTATAACCGTGAATATGATAGTGATGAGACCACTGATGTGGAAAAATGCTGACATAATGGAATCGAACGCCTTCAGATGACGTCGCATAATATATAATATACTGAGCTTTTACTACCCCCCCCCCCCCTCGCCCACTCCGCCCCTCATTGCGTCCCGGTAAAACATAGATCGTATTGCTCATATAGTTGTTGGCTGGAAAGCAGTTTTATTCAAGTTGACATAAAGTTCGTGTCATATTATTGTTTTTTTGTGAACCTTAGGAGCGCTTCTAGGCATGTTACAGTGATATGGCAGATTGTTAGTGTTTGCTGGTGCGTATCTAAACCACCTACAGTCTTTAGAACAACACTTTGTCACATCTTGCTCGTCTGTAGTAAAAAGGTTCCGGAAAAGGAGAATGAATTAACGTACTAAACCTACGGTTATGTAAATTTGAAACTGACCTGTGTCTTCTATATTTGGTTCTATGAAGAACGATGAACGTCTTGGTGTAGGGTTTTGTTTTAATAGATGACAGAAAGTAACTAGAACTGGGTGACAATGTGCCATTTCTACTTGTAATATACTCAGATAAGACAAATAGCCTGCAAAAAGAGTCAAATTAATATTTTATAACTCAGATAAGACCAGGAGTCTGGAAAAAGAATAAGCGGGAGCAACAAAGTTTATAAGAAACCTACATTGTAAATATAATGAAAAGGTGTCACATCACGTGATTAAGTTGTGTTTTCTTGGAGCAGTTTCGTGAAACCGGAAGTGATATTAAGCCAAACCGGAAGGGGTACTGCATCGCTACCAGGCTTATGCCACTGCCCAGCTCGACCTCTCCTTATGTACATAAAATTGCAGCTTTGAGCAGCCCAATTGTAGCCGCCTATATATATTGACACCACGCAAAAGCATTTAAGGGGTAACATATCATATATTATCAGTAACTCATCTAGACCGACAAAACTGCTGGGTCGACTTCATGAAATTAAAAATAAAAATTAAAAATTATAATTTTGTATTACCTGGATCCCAATGTTCAAAGCCTGGTATTAAATTACACCTGTCTAATCTAGATAAATAGGCCACACCCAACACCACGCCCTTCACTACCCGAATTATAGCTTTGCACAAGCCGACAAAAATATAGAAGAAGAAGAGGAAATATGATACAATATGGTATAGCCTCCTGAAATACGAAACAATATAAATATTATTAATCAAATAATATTAATTATAATTTTATCTGGTTGTCAGATAAATTAAGAAACTGAAACGCTGCATTTGAAAAATCTGTGAACTTTAGAACATGTGTTGCAAAAGACTATCATACAAAGATTGGATATGAATTATTTTATGAATTAATAAGAACTGTACTACAATATAGTCTAATCAGAATCAGGTCTAAATGAAGTGGTGAATTTTATTAATCTAATGGGTTATATTGACGCTGATGAAGACCGGCCATTAATAATTAATCCTTTTACATGCTTGTAGTCTGTTGATAATGGATATTTATTAACAAACAATAACAAGGAAATGGTATGCTTTGTTTATAATTAATGATGAGAGATGTTGACTTTGCTATGCCCACAGATATATTTACGGACAAAACCTTATAAATAATCTTCTTAAAGATTTAATTCTAATGTGTAAGAAATATCATTCCAATAATAAAAGATGCATTTTGTAAGATTTAGACAAAGATCCGGTTCTGGCTAAAATGGTTCAAAAATAGATAATGAGAAATGAATATATTGAAAATTTCAGACAAATTACTTTATTCTGAGCGAAGTAATAAATAGCAAGATAGTTTCGATTGTCGAGTACCTTTGCTACCACAATAAACAAATTCCCGATCGTCCCTTTTATCGTTAAATTTTAACTGGCGAGGGGGTTCTAATCCATTAGATATCTAAGTCCTCGGATAACATAGAGTTGATTATGGGCTTGCCATACGAATACATGCAGCTAGAAAAAGATCTGCTATAGGCAGATTTGTCTGTGATACTTTTGGTTCTTTGAATCGGTTCTGGGTGACAACACTGGTTTAATATCTTATAATACTTTTATTCTTGTAGGCATATAAAGTACAAAAACTATTAAAGTTTACTTGCGTTGCGAAAACCCTGCTCATAGCTCGGCTGGACTCGGCCTGGCTCCAGGCCTGCGTCTACTAACATTCTAGCCTTAACCCAAGGCGCCCATGGCCTTCTCTCCACTATCTCCATTTCATTCCTGCTTATAAACCCTTTCTAGACAAAGGATGATCGAAGCGCAGCTGGCTATATTGCATTATATACCAGATTAAACGTTTAGTACAGATTGCTTTACAAGGCAAAGGTCAAAGGACATTACATAAAACGGGCCAGCTATAAGTTTATATTGGTAATGACTAATGAATGCAATCTGGACAACCTAGATGTCAAGAGAGAGGTCATATAGGCTATGCCTGTCCCTCAATCCCTTTTAATTTCTGAATAAAATATTGTTTTAAAAACCAAATAGACGACATAAAGATATTTTAATAAAGTCTGCTTTCATGTGTCAAGATGACACGATAACTGTCAATAACATCTGCCATTATGTAACATGAATCTTACATATTGATCAAAACAATTAAAATTTATCATCATATCTCTAGCATTATGCCGATATCATATATATCTTGTACATGTCTTGAAAAGGTAAATATTTTGTGTTTCAAAGACAAAACTGTTCTCTGTTTGTTGTGTTCAATGGATATAATTGTCATTTTTTAACTCCACTGAATCCATCTTGAACCTACCTGTTATCTAGAGCCAGTGGTCTGTGCATACGATGTCTTGAATCAAAGGAAACACATTTTTGTAGAAATATTTTGTTGGATAGATATTTTTGTGTGTAGAATAAGGAATACGATACTATTATAGTTGGTCTGAAAAAAAATAAAACTAATGTATTATTAATACACATTCGTTGTGATCTTTCCCTGGGTTAAAATTCACAAATTGTATTTTGTCTATAGATTTAGCCTACACACAAAAAGAACAGGTTATATTGTACTAACAAGAGTCAGGTCGATAACTGTCAACTATAATTAGCTGGAACACAGCGTCTGAATACAATTAACTTTGTACGATGTAATAAAACGACAGCGAACAAACCCGATTTCACTTTTAACTAATATATTACTATATGAATTGTAAATGAATGGGCTTTGACTTCCTACTTTTCTGCACCAACCGGGCTAATGAAGACGGTTATACGCCATGAGTATGCTATGGGGAAAATATTGCCAGGGTCTTTTACATACACACCAATGTGCGCATGGAACCTCTGTTTTTCGTTCTATCCGAACGACTAGACGCCTTCCGTAGTTAAACCTTTCGCCCCGCACCCCTGACAAGGGGAAACCAGACTGGAAAATTCAGAGGAATCTACTCGGGATCGAATCTTGTTAGTGAACTGGAGCCTTACTGGATAGTAGGCCCGGCCTATGAAGTTATTTTTTCTCCCACAACAGGGTAGTCTCGTGTAGGCTCGGTATGTTCATGTCTTGTTAGTGAGTCAGGGGTGTTTTTGAGGGTAGTCTCGGTATGTTCATGTCATGTTTTAATATTCATACCAATCAGATTTTTTTTCTCTTTCATTTAGGCGCGAGGGTAGTCTCTTCCTTAAGAATATAACTATTATTCTAAACTTCTAGTCCACTGACAAAGCCCAGCCAATTAACCAACAAGGACAGTTCGAGTTGGGGTTGAGATGCCTTTTTATCCAGCTTTTCTAAGAACCCCAAAAATAGCATAATATGACTACAAATCTATCAAGAAGATCAGGTAGGATTCTTAATTTTCTGAGCACTTACAAACGGTCTCGATTAGTTTCAATAAAAATCTTTGAAATTATTAATGTGATGATTTTTCAATAATGTTATTTTGTTATCCAATACTTACACTATTGCCCAAAAGATGAAAAGGAATTCGTATGACACTCTTCCAGCAAATGGTAAGATTATTAAGTAAGAAACAAGCATAAAATAGAAAAATAGCATCACTATGGTAAAATAGTAACCTGAAAAACAAAAGCAGAACTATAACTAATATAAATTTATATAAGATATATTCCGTATGTTTCAATCTTATACCCATGTAGCCAACCATAATGTTTATGGCACTGCTAAAATTGCAGCTGAAAGTCGCTGTGAAATATCAGATTGTGTTTCAATTGGTTATCTAACATTTGGTTTTTACAAAATAATCAAAATATCAACGGTGGATAATCTCTGGACTAGGGTTAAATCGGATTAAAAAGAGACCCAACAAAAGAGTGTAACTAAGATTAGAGCTTTGACCACATCCCGTTAAAACAATAACGTCTGTTGAGGGTGCAGGGTCATTGCAAATACTGAACAGAATTGAACCATTTGTATCGGAAAGTCCACAAAATTTCAGCTTCGAAATATTATAGAAAAATCATAATTTTCTAAACATCATTTCGAATTGCTATATGTTTATTTTCACATTGACTACAGCTATATTTTTTAAACAATTACGATGTATGAAAATCTATTGTATTTTCTTTCCAAATCAGATATTCATTTACAGGTGCCACATACGCACATTTAAAATCAAAATGTCTACTTTTATTTTGGCTCGAAAATAGACCCAGTGTCGATTTAATTAGGTTCGTTTTGCTTTGTGGGGTGAGCCTAAAATTTTGGGTCCACAGGAAAAGTCAATGTTAAGATAAATCTGATTTTGTAAAGCGACCAAGGTACCCAAAAAATGACTTCTACTTCGTATTTGAAGCGAAAATCAATATCTTATAATTTTTGTTCTAGACTGATTCATCCAGCCCCTGATGCTAGAGACTGAAGACAGTAATGACAGTTATATATCGAAGTTGGCCATACATAATTAATCAATCGTTTACTTTATTTTTATTTACCCACTTCGATCGCGCTGTATGTATATTTCAACTTTATTGGTTGACACATTTTCCTAATTGAACGATAAACCTAGGCGCGTGTCTAGATTACCCGTCTCCAACTGCCCAGTCGGGGCAGAACAGTAGGACGTTAAACCCCATTTCATTTTATTGTGTCCAGGGGTGGGGGTGGGGCGGATGTTGCCTGCTCGGACTGAGTATTTATTTCATTCTCGTAAACATCAAAATAACGTCCCTCCTAAACATCAAAATAACGTCGAACAAACAAACGCGCCAAGCAGGATACGCCCACATTTTGCAAGAGATGGATAGAGAACAAGCCAAAAACAAACAGGATATTTTGTACAATCAGGGGCAAAAATCAAGAAAGTTATGGTTTGAATGCGCAAATATCAAAAGGGACTGAGATCTTTGGGATAAAGATATGTTTTAAGTTTCATCAGAATCGGATAAAAATTGTGACCTCTAGAGGGTCGACAACCTTCGTATTGCATACTTTTACACAATTTGCGTACAAAGAGCGGCCATTTTGTCAGGCAATTTCAATTCGATTTTCCCGAAATTCGAATTCAACCTTCATTATGGTGGAATGGTGAAATATTTAAACGATTTTTAAAATCGGAAAAACATTGTAACCTCTAGAGAATCCGAACAATCAGGAGCCATAATCCAGGAAGTTACGTTCGGATATACGCGATTATCAAAAGGAACCAAGATCTTAATGGTGATATTCACATGGATTTTTAAATCGGATAAAAATTGTGACCTCTACATGGACAGCAAGATAAAAACGTGATTTTTTTGTACATTCAAGGGCCATAATTCAGGAAGTTATACGGTCCGATATGCGCGAATATCGACAGGAGCCAAGATCTTTGGGTTAGAAACTTACATTTCAAGTTTCATCAAAATCAGAACAAAATTGTGACCTCTAGAGGGTCCACAACATTGATATACCATATTTTTTTTACGCTATTTGAGTACGAGGGGTTGCCATTTTGTCTGTCAGTTTTGGTCTGATTTTTACGAAATTCGAACTCAGTTGTCCTTAGGGGGTGTAACGGTAATATATTCAAACGGTTTTTAAATTCGGATAAAAATTATGATAGCTATAGGGTCCACAAGCTAAAACGCGATTTTTCGTACAATCAGTGGCCATAATTCAGGAAGTTATACGGTCCGATATGCGCGAATATCGACAGGAGCCAAGATCTTTGGGTTAGAATCTTACATTTCAAGTTTCATCAAAATCAGAACAAAATTGTGACCTCTAGAGGGTCCACAACCTTGATATACCATATTTTTACGCTATTTGAGTCCGAGGGGCGGCCATTTTGTCTGTCAGTTTTGGGCCGATTTTTACGAAATTCGATCTCAACCATCCTTAGGGTGTAACGGTGATATATTAAAACGGTTTTTTAAATCGGATAAAAATTATGACCTCTATAGGGTCCACAAGCTAAAAACGCAATTTTACGTACAATCAGGGGCCATAATTCAGGAAGTTATGGTTCGATATGCGCGATTATCGAAAGGAATCAAGATCTTTGGGTTATAAACTTACATTTCAAGTTTCATCAAAATCAGAACAAAATTGTGACCTCTATAGTGTCCATAAGCTAAAAACGCGATTTTTCGTACAATCAGGGGCTATAATCCATGAAGTTACGGTCTAATACATGCCAATATCACAAGGAACCGAGATCTTAGGGAGATAAACCTATATTTCAAGTTTCGTTGAAATCGGATAAAAATTGTGCCGTCCGTCCGGACAGGGGCGGCGACAATATACGTCCACATGAAAATGTGGGCGTATAAAAAAAACAGTCAAAAGTTTGTTAAAATATAAAATTTTGACCGTGTATGTAGCGTTTTGATGTCAAAAAAATCATTGACTCAAAATTTTGACGTATCAAACCACCTTTGATATTTATTGACGGGTATTCAATATTCTAAAGCATGTGTGGGCTACTGTCAAAATTTTGAACAAAAATTTCATTTTGCACCGACGCCGAGGTGTGAGGATCAGCATGTCTGGGAAGAAATCGGCAGAAAAGAAGATTCTTATTTAAGTGCTAAATGTGTACAAGACCTTGTCAGCTATGTGTAAAATAAACTAATGGAAGGATGGGGCATCCATTCGAAGGAAGTTACGAAAGTCCTCTGGTTCGTTGGCCTGTAACTCCTGACGGAGGTTGATGTGAGCGTACTTTCGACGCTTCAAAACCAGTCTTTCGACCATTTCCTTCGAGGTCTTAAGTCGGAGTCCAAAGCGAGAATTATTGCGACAGTGACCTATGCGTCCATGTCAAAGATTTTGACGAGACTGATTTTTGGTGGAAAATCATTGAATCGTGTATGGGCAATTGCACATTACAATTATGTATCAAATTTCTACATCAAAATTTTGACGGTTTTTTTTTTTTTTGAACGTGTAATGCCCCATTTCACTTGAAGCGCCAGCTATCAGACTGGATTAATCAGTCTATTTTTGCCCGGGATTGCCCCCAAAATAGCTGAAACAATTAAAAGATTTATTTTGACCAGAAAAAAAAGGGATTTGGCTTTTTAAAACTTACCCCATAACAAATAGGCTACTTGAGATCCACTGTACATTAAGCTTCTACTCTGAAATATATAATAACTAAACAGCAACGATACTTCGTGGTTGAGCGCCATATGACCCCGGGCTTCAGATTCTTTAAAAATGCTCTGCTTAATCTCTCGTCTTCTGTTCTCTCTTCGGCGCAACCGATTTGAATATTATTTTATTATGGTTTCAGATACACGCATATTAAGTCAAATATAGATATAAATTAATATATATTTATTGATTCAATGTATTTACTTACCAGAATCATACTCTTGGACATAAGTCTGATTTTTGGGGGAATAAAAGAGTAGTCTCCCCTCATTAATCTACAACTATGCATGCGATATTTTAAAAATATTTTCATACCATAGTTTAACATAATTAATGAGCCAGCACCATATGCAGTGTACCAGCATCCTACAAATAGAAATTTGTATAATTTATTCGACATGGGACAAGAAAGGATACTCTGTGAGATGGGGTTAGTAAGAAAGTATATTAGATACGGCACAAACTTATAGTACTTATAATATAAGTAATACTTTTATGTTGGAATTAGACGAATAGCAGTGGTGCAATAACTGAGTTGTAGATGTGGGGCTAGATCTATGTCTTAAGGCCACCTCCAGATTTCGTCATGGTCGCTGAGATATAAAGATCTCAACATGAACATTGTAGGCAATAATCTGTATTCAGTGAGTACGGATCTAAGATCATCTCACTGATTGCTAGATTCCCATCTGTATTCAGTCAGTTCTAGTTTAACAGTTTAAAATCAACTCAGTCTGACTGGTTAACAGATTAATCTGTATTTGATGAGTACAAGTATAACAGTTGAAATAAACTCAGTCTAGTCCTTGAAAACTGTACATACCGTGGCATGTAACAGGGATGTTTGTAAACCAAATACAGTATTAACTAGACTGAGTACTAAAGTAACTAGCTAAGCCCATGTAGGGGATCGGGGTTGTTTTATGAAATACGGGGTACGTTCATTTACAACAGGGGTTTTAGAGTAGCTAAGAGTCAGGGTTATTTTGTGACGAAAAATGGTGGGGTTTTATTGGAGAGGTGGTTGTTTTAGAGGGAGTCGATGCTTTATGGATGACAAACAGGCGCATGTCCGAGGGGGGTCTTGGGGGATTCTCCCCCCCCCCCCCGGAAAATTTTGAAAATTGACAACCGCAAACCCATTTTCCAAGCATTTCAGACCAAAGCAGAAGAAGGCAAATTTTTGATTTCATGATACAATTAGATAACAGAATGACCCAAGAGCACTATCATTAGATGAATTTGAGAATTCTCTTCAGTGTCAAAAACCAAAACCTTTTATTCTACGTGATGAAAATAATGCAAATTATAATATACATACAGTACACGTATTTGACAGTTCTGTTGACGCACATCACAGAATATAATTTTTCGCGAAAAACTCAAAACTGGCAAGTTTTTGGCGATTATTTCGGCGATAATGACTTATGAAGAACTAAGTAGAGGTTAAAAGATGAATTACACGGTTCTCGGTATAATGAGGTCAAACTCATAAAGTTCTTTCCTTGTAGTACACTTATTTTTTTGTGTTGTTTGTCAGTCATTTTTTTCCTATCTTTTCTTTCCCATGTCCTCTGCCCTCTCCTCTCCTCCCTTCTTTCTTTTCTTTCCTCCCCTCTCCTTTCTTTCTCTTTTTTTCTTTTTTCTTTATAGGCTTAGGCCCACTTTTTTTTTAATGAGCTTAGGCCCACGGACAGGTGGACAGGTGGGCCCAGTCCGGCACTGTGAAGGACGTGGGTTGTTGTGTGAATGCCTAGGCACTTTGATGTGGGATACTTTAGGCTGCATAATATTCAAATATGCAAACCCAGTTTCATTTGTTTATCCACAGATTTAGACAACGAAATCATCGGTTCCAGTCTCTATCTAAAACCATAGGAAAGTGCATGAAATACTCACACTGATTCACGCACATGTTGACTGTTGCATATCCTAATCGAAAAAAAACAAAATCAGATAAATACAAGCTACATTCAGTCGATTACCATAAGCGTTGACTGGTTCCCTATCCCACTGAGGATGAAAGCAAACTAGCAGCGAGGAGTGATCGATGGTGCATGTACGTACACTGAGCGCGATTGGTTTTAATTAGTGTCACAGGATCTGGCTGGAAAAGAGGGCCCAATATCGTCACTAGGACAATAGGAATATGATGACATTTCCATGAGTATTTGTGGTAACTCGAGGGTACATTTTCAGAATGGAGGATGCTAGTTCAGAAGGTATGGCACCATTTTAGAAGGCAGGACACTATTTCAGAAGAGGGGGCACTTTTTCAAACATTTCCGATTACATCCCAGACACATCCACAAGGAAATTCTGAATTTCGGTATACCTTTGAGTGGAACTGGCGTATACTAAAGTCTTGACCGAAAATGAAGTTTTCTAAATTAGCGCAACCCCCACGTTCGTTCATGCACGACATAGTGGAAACAGTATTTGGCAGTTGGACATTACTAAATTTACTTTAAAAAAAAATAAAATCTGCCTTTTCATTTGTTACTCTTTTCATTGGTTTGCGGCGCCCGCACCCCCCTGTTTGGATATGCTCTTGGATGGCGTCACGTGTGTGGACTTAATAGCTTTTCATTACAAACTAACCATTCTTGAAAATCTAGTGTATATTTCCCTTCACAATTAGGTTATCTAATCTACTTATATAAGTTCAATATCTTTCTACTTTTTAGGTTTATCTTGTAGATTTTTGTTTTGCATGTAGTGCGATCCTCCTGCACTTAGGCCTACTATTAATTATAAACAAGGTTATGGTGCCCCAAAGCATCAACCAATCAAATTGCTTATCTCTGCTTGCAGTAAGCAGACAATGTTCATCATCGAACTCCGTCAAGGCATTCACCTAATGAACGCCTACATCAAGTTTGAACATTGCACCTCAATTAGAAGGGGAATTATTGTGTTTTAAAGTCTCGACTAATCAAATTGCGTATCGCTCTGCTTACCCTCAACAGAAAATGTTCATTATCGAACTTAGTCAAGGTATTATTGTAATGAAACTATTCACCAAGTTTCATCACTCTCACTTAATTAGAACTAAAGTTATCAACCAATCAAATTGCTTATCTCTGCTTACCCTAAACAGAAAGTGCTCATCTTCGCACTTCATCAAGGCGTCACCCAATAAACACCTACACCAAGTTCAAACATCCTATATCAATTAAGAGCGTTATTGTGTCCCAAAGTCTCCACCAATCAATCTGCTTATCGCTTTGCTTAACCTGAACAGAACATGTTCATCATCGAACTTAGTCAAGGTATTGATGTAATGAAAGGTGGGGGACAAAAATACATGTACTGGATTACCCGAAAAACACCCACGGGGGCAAGCGCTGGGCACGAATATCAGGGTATCACTTACTGGAAACCCGACTGTTGTCTGCCAGCTTATTGTGTGCTAAGTTGGCTTAGGAGGCGGTTGTTATTTCTTGATCAAATTGTTAGGCGGTTTGGGGAACATTGAGGGGTGTCAATGTACAAAAGACCCTGCAGTTAAACGGTGGGAAAAGAAGTTGACAGAAAATAATTAAGAATTTACTTAGGCCTAAATATGTATGGTAAATGGACAGTAAGTAGTGAAAAATACATTTTGAAAAATGGACCCTCCCTCAATGAAATTAGGTGACAACCATGGCTTCTAACAAACAGTTTATTTATAGCCTGGGGTATCTCCCCGCGAATACAAAGTTTTAATAGGGATTTGAAGCAAATGTTCGATAGATTAATTAGATTGAATATGTTTTTCGTCCAACTAGATCATCAAATCACACGCGGGAGAGTATCTTTAATCATTTCAGGCAAATGCTCGTTTGTTAACCAGAAATTATTTATTATAATGTATTATTTATTTGCATAAAGGAAATCGAAATTGAATTGCCTATCTCCCTCAACCTCCAAGTTTGTCGTCTTTTCATTGAAACTGACAATTTTAATCCAACAAAGGTGCTTTTGGTTAGGATAGTCCTAAATATCTGCACTGGGATGCTATAAGATAGGTAATATATTTCGGTCTGCAAATTCCAAACATATTCTACTACCAACATTATCTTATCGTATAACTAACTGGTCATTGATACATCGCACGATGTGATAAACTCAACATTGCATAACTTATCGGTACGAACAGGACGCGCGTGTGACCTTTTGATTGCGAACTGTCTAAATTGGCCGCGATTAAAACGTATGAATCAAGTACGCCTTATCAGCTAATAGTCTCGTTAAACCAGACCGCTCGGTTTACGTTTACCGGATTACGCCTGGTTAGACGAGACTTATCAGCTGATGGTCATAGCGCCTTTCTTGTCGAAAAGGTAAGTGACAATGAATATTTAAAGATCTCAGTATCAGTTTATCCTTTTTATAAAACCAACTGCTGTCCATAATTAATTGACAGTTTACAAATAACATATTTATTTAAGTTCGGGACAGGACAATTCAAACGGCATACCAACTTTCTAATTTTTGATATGTCAACTGACCTGTTGCCGTTGGTGTTATTTCATACAATTTTGTCAAAATGGCAATGCAGTCCCAATATTTATTTTTCAATAAAATGATACAAAACACAGTAACAGAGATGAAAATCGGAAGAAAGTAAGGGGACGATTTTCAAAAGCAAAGCCCTGCATTTACCAATCCCAACTCAATATTTTCAGTCCTGATTCTCAATAAGTTTATTCATATATTATATTTTTTTCACAGATGAAGCTTGTTATCTTAGACGACTACTCACAAGTTTCAGAATGGGCAGCAAAGTATGTCCGCAGAAGGATCATAGATTTTAATCCAGGACCAAACCGATATTTTACCTTAGGCTTGCCAACTGGAAGCACACCTTTAGGAATGTACAAAAAGTTAATAGAATTTCACAAACAAAATCTGATTTCTTTTCGATATGTGAAAACATTTAATATGGATGAATATGTTGGTCTTGCACAGGATCACCTCGAGAGTTACCATTCTTTTATGTGGAATAATTTCTTTAAGCATATCGATATAAATCCAGAAAATGCTCATATCTTAGATGGTAATGCTCCCAATCTTGAAGCGGAATGTGCGAGTTTTGAAAAGAAAATTAAGGAAGCTGGTGGCATTGAACTGTTTATTGGCGGTATAGGACCAGACGGACACATTGCCTTTAACGAACCTGGCTCAAGTTTGGTGTCCAGAACTAGAGTGAAAACTTTAGCTCAAGATACTATTATAGCCAATGCTCGTTTTTTCGGTGGTGACGTGTCAAAGGTTCCAACTGAAGCTTTAACTGTTGGTGTTGGAACTGTAATGGATGCCAATGAAGTAATGATTCTAATAACAGGAGCTCACAAAGCATTTGCCCTGCATAAGGCCATAGAGGATGGCATCAACCACATGTGGACAGTCTCAGCATTCCAGCAACATCCTAGAACTATCTTCATTTGCGATGAAGATGCTACACTGGAGTTGAAAGTGAAAACTGTCAAATATTTCAAGAGTTTGATGCATGTCCATAATAAACTTAAAGATGATCCACAATAAATTTGGATATTCTTCAGACAATTCATGTAAAACTCCACTTTAATATACACCTATTCCTTAGTTTAGCATTTAGAACTATAAATAGTTTATAACCCAAGAATTTGTTTGCCTCGAGCAATAATCTTATATAATATTTTAATACCAACCATTTACTACTTGTTTTATGATACCAGTTGTATTTATTTTGAGGTAGGGTACTTTGCATAGAATGTGTTTTTGTATGTTTTGATTGTAACATAAAATGTTATTGATTGTAACATATAATGTTATTGCTCAACAGAGCAACTATTCTGATGGTTTATAGGTGCTCTATAATATTTTATATCACATTATTATACTGTATAATTTGACTTTACATAATATAAGTATTTACAATACTGTACTCAAAGTTTTGCCTTATGATATTCTCTACCAAAGTTGTTCTACATAGGAACACTAACTATACTGCTTCATAACTGGCCCAAGACAGAGCTAAAGACATTACCCGTTCCTAGGACTAAGACAAGTAATCAGTTCCCCCTAATTGTTTATAGCAAATTTGACTCTTTCCAAATATCCCGGTTTGCCCACTTTTGGTCTAGAATCAAAGAAAGGTATGTGGTCAATATTCCTGATTCTGAGACTGAAGGATCAGAAAGTAAACTCTCTGAAAACAATGTGACCTGGACTTGAACTCTTAATAACCACAAGAAGAAATAATTACATAAGCATAACTAGTCTTATCATTGGCAATAGATTAGTTGTATGCCAAAACCTATATTTGGACTCTTTATCTTGATAGTTGGTACAAGCTGTTGCAGACCTAGTTTGAAAATAATTAGTCTAGATGTTGAGGACTCACCTCTCACAGTGTTTATCAGTAAATCTAGCTGATTAAGAATTTCTGCCCCAAATGTTTCAATAAGTGTTGACTTATCTACAGTATCAAATGTGTTCTGTACTGTATCCAATGTTTTGTCAACAGTCAGAAATGACATTAAAGCGAACTGGAAAAGAACCATAGAATATCTGCATATAGAGGTACATGTATGTCTGACAAATAAAAAAATAGAGGATTTGGGGTTATTTTTAAGATATCATTGCCCAAGGTAATCTAAAATTTAGGAGCTTCAGTTTCTGAAATCCAGGTACAAACTGTGGTGTGTGCCATACATTGAGCTTGGTGTTGGGTGTGGTGCAATGTATTTGAGGTCACATAGCTGAAATATATTGAGACACAATGATACACAGCCTTTATAAATTAAAATAGATCGAGAGGCAATGAAACACATATGACTGTAACAACATGGGATCACAGCCATGGGAATGTAAACACACTACAGATTGATTCTTTCAAACACACAAAACTGAATTCGAATGGGAATGTTCAAAATAAGGATTTTATTGTGTAGACATTGGGTATAAAATGCGTCTTTAAAAAGTTGCGGGGAAGACAAAACTGCTTTCGTTCAAGAGAGAAGGAGGACCGTGACCATTAGAAGCTGCACTGAAACGAGAGTGGAGAAAGTTTCCACAGGTAGCCATTTAGAATGACAGAGGCTTCCATGTATGTCCTCCCGTGTTCCTGAAGCAACGAAGATGTCAATCTCGTAGCCAGTCGGGTGAAAAATGATTTCCCCCCCCCCCCCAAAAAAAGAAAAAATTATAGACCATAGTTCTAAAATATCTACTATCTGTCATAGACAGGAGTCAGGGATCATCATGTGGAGTATTGTTTGGGGACGTGGCACCTTGCACTCAGTCTCATATTATTGGTTATGTTCTGCCATATATTTTGTACTGACTTGCCCAATGGCCCACTTTCGTGGGGCCCCTGTCTTGTCACTCTATGTTAAGAGTTTGCTAGAGAACGATTTTCTGGGCTGGGAAAAGCGTTTGCGGCCGTCCAATTTTAAAAAATTTTCGGGGGAGGGACCCGGTACCCCCTTCGTTCGGGAGGAGAGATCCACCCACCTCCCCTAAAAGGTTCACTGTCCCCCTGCAGCTAGCAGGCTGGCTACTGGCCTGGAAGATGTACGGAGATAAAAGCGAGATCAAGCCTTCTATTGAAGATGATATCCTCCATGTTGGCTTGACTTTTAGTCCCATGATCTTCGTGGCATGTTAAGTTACTTTTGTCCGTAAATGTCCAGCCGAATATCCAGCAAAAAAAAATATACACATTTAATCTGCATTATGTCTCGCCAGCACTTAAGTCAAATCAGTGGTGCGATTTCACTGCGTCTCAATATATTTTTATTATACTTTTGGATTTATTAAAATATAATCATTGCCATGCACTAAAACAATTTCATATATAATATACTTTGAATTGCACATGTTTATATACCATAAAAGCTGTGTAAGATAAAGTAAATATTAATATCACGTGTCTGGGATGTTCAAATGAAGGTATCAATACGAACAATATGACCTGCTTTAAAGGGACATTATCGTCTAGAAATAAAATCTGAATACAATCTGATTAAAATTAGATCTCTGATTCGTTCTGATATAATGTTGATCCACTTTATATAAGATTGAACTACTTTTCTACTAGTTATCTGATATGAGCTACTGTGATGTACTGAAACTATTTAATGTGGAAGGAAAGACTTACTTTCATTGGCTAAGCGTTCAGTCGAACCCGCACTTATTAAAAATCTTGTTACACAGTAACATAGTGTAAGCATAAAGGACACACAAAAGAGAAACTTCGCGTTTTATTTATTATTATTTTTTCGGTTGTGAATCAGCCATAACTAATTACTTGTCTTGTAGCTTTGTTCATTACAAATTGCACCCGAAACCATAGAAAACATTGTGTCTTAAATATTGGATATTTGGATCCCATATTTTCACGGCAAGAAATTAGCATGACTTGGTTGAAATGGACCAATATTGAATGTTGAGTTAGAAGTTGGGCTCCTTTAACATTTTAAATAATGTAATACTACGTACCGGTTCGTAACATCTTGAAGTAAATAGGCTACATATTTACCTCATATAAACAAAGAACAGCCACAGTAAATGTAGATGTTACACGTATTGAGAAACGGTATGTAGGATCATGTCTATATCGTATTATAGACCATATACTACCATTCAACTTCTCTAACCTAAAATAGGAATGGAATAAACAACATTTAAGCTTTTTCTATCCACAATCGATTTTTTATTTTAAATCAAAGCCCGGCACATAAGAATTATTATCCGATATGTTATTAAGTAAAAAACCACAGAAACTAATTGCGTGGTTCAAAAGTGTTCTTCAAACTAAGAGCTAAATATGTCTAGTGCAGGTCTTTCTTTGGGCCTGAAATGTTATCTACATTATTAATTAGACATTATTAATTAACTTATTCAGACCATAATCAACTCTCGATGCCATTGATAGTCTGTGATATGTAGCGGATTGGAATACATTTTGTGAAGGATAATTAATTAAACGCAGAAATGGATAATCAAGACTTTGTTTTTTATCGTACCGACTTTAGTAATGATGATTGAGGCTAGCCAAAAATTCAAAAGCTAATATCTCGGTTCAGAGTGGCTCAATTTGACTGAAATGTTCAGCATATTCTACATATTTTTACGTTATCTGTTTTCATAACTATTATAGCGAAATTGTATAGGCATATCGGTGCGGCGGACTGACTTTTCACTGCCTCGTGACATGTCCGTAAAATGCTTAATGTGGACATACATGTATATGCCATCGCCCCTGACCGGACGTCCGTCCGTCCACAATTTGTTAGCAGACACTCTACAGGTCACAATTTGTTTGCAGACACTCTACAGGTCACAATTTTTATCCGATGTTGACGAAACTTGAGATATGGGTCTATCTCCCAAAGATCTGGGTTCCATTCGATATCGGACCATAACTTCATGGAGAATGGCCCCTGATTGTACGAAAAATCGCGTTTTTAGCTTGTGATCCCTCTAGAGGTCCCAATTATTATCTGATTTTAAAAAAACGCGTGACTATATTACCGTTACACCCTAATGATGGTTGAGTTCGAATTTCGTGAAAATCGAACCAAAACTGATGGACAAAATGGCCGCCCTCGTTCGCAAATGGTGTAAAAATATTGTATGTCAAGGTTGTGGGCCTTCTAGAGGTCACAATTTTTTATCCGATTTTGATGAAACTTTAAATTTATGTTAATCGAAATGAAACTGCCCGACAAAATGGCCGCTGTTTGTACGCAAATTGTGTAAAAGTAATATACGAAGGTTGTGGACCCTCTAGAAGTCACAATTTTTATCCGATTGTAATGAAACTTAACATAATAATATCTTTATAGCCCAAAGATCTCAGCCCCTTTTGATATTTGCGCATTTCAGACCATAACTTTTTGGATTATGGCCCCCTTATTGTATGAAAAATCGCTTTTGTTTTTAGCTTGTTCTCCATATATCTCTTGCAAAATGTGGGCGAATCTTGCCAGGCCACCGCTGGTTTTTCGGGCTAAGGATTTATTCATTTCATACGAAAGTGGATACATCTTAAAAAAAACCCTCCTGGTGATTGTTGGTATACTTCCCAGGCATGATTTTGTTCGCATAAAGCTCGGTTCATACTACATCCGTATCCATAAACGTATCCACATCCGTATCCGCACCCGCATCCGCGTTTTGCCGTTCAAATTGAAAACGCGAAAACGTCCGGGTTTCAAGGCTGAATTGTCTGTCAGAGATTGAGTTTCTATTTGGGGAGATGATGTAATAAGGGGAAAGTACTCGCTGATTGGCTAAAGCTCGGCTTACTAGCCTAAATGCCGGACGCACTTTACAAAAATACGCTCTGGGAGCAATCAATCCGGCTTAAAGGACGCAGTTGTTTTTGTGCGCAATACGTGCCGGATTCTATTTGAACCATTTCTCTAAAAGTAACTAAAGTATACCAGTACGAGCTTTAGCCAAACAGCGAGTACTTTCTCCTTATTACATCATCTCCCCAAGTAGAAACTCAATCCATTCCAAGAAAAGCCTGGCCTTGTGTGCTGTGGATTTGTGTTGTCTTGTGAAGAACACAACATGGACAAGACAGAGGAAATATTGTCTGAATTTGTCCGGATGAAAATACAATTCTTGCACCAGGTTGTGGTATTCTCCATATTTCTTTCTTCTTTGTAACATTTCATGGACCCCTACTCTCTTTTTTCTCTTTCATCTTTGGGTCCACAAATACAAAAGAAAGACTTCCTCTGTGTCACTGTCAGACTCCCTGATTGCAAATGACAATATGTTATCTCTGACAGACAATTCAGCCTTGAAAGCCGGACGTTTTCGCGTTTTCTATTTGAACGGCAAAACGCGGATACGGATGCGGGTGCGAATACGGATGCGGATACGTTTATGGATACGGATGTAGTATGAACCGAGCTTTACATACACGTTAAAATCCTAGCCGAATGCGTATAAACAATGTATTATCTTGGTTGATATATTCTCATCAAATCCAATGAAGATACACAGATGTATGACGGAAACAAAAACTTACTGTTCCAAGGACGGGAGAGATGAGTTCTTTCCCTTCAGTAATTCTTTCACATGATTAACCTGGAATTTTGTTAAACCTGACGCTTCCTAAAAGCCAAAATCAGAAGATAAAAAAAAAAGAAAATTCTAGACGGTGTGTAATGACCAAATAAAAGGAAATGGTCGTGGTTTAATGACCCAAAGTAATATTTCGGCCATTTTGAGACAAACGTAATGTTAATATTCCTATGTCACGTGTGCAGTATTGTGGAGAACATTTTGCGGAGACTGGCGTTTCGCAGTACTCTCAATAAGACTGGCGTTTCGGAGCACGCCAATGTGTGCATGTGAGGACCAATGTTTCCACCATGTTTAAAAGAGACGGCTACACCTTCCTTGTCTGACACACACCCCCCGGTGCAAATTGGGAACCAAACATTCTTGATGTTCTGCTCGAATCACGCAGAAATTCAAAACCGTTACATTCTATTTATGGTTACCGGTAACCAAAAGGAATGGTTATCTTTTTCGGCTCTTGAACACTTTTGATGTTTTGAGTTTGATTTGATTTGATTACCAAGATCAATAAATTAAACATATTACAAACCTGCGTGTCTGTGGCTTTTAATAACTGTTCATTTGATATAGTTTGGGTCGTGTCCATTAACTGAAATTCCATAATTAATCCGTATAAGCAATGGCCAATCATCATAATTACTTGAAATAATTTGCTTTATCAATATGCGTTTTTAGTACGTACAAAAATTGTCTAAGATTTTTCGATTGCATCGAAAACTTTACCATATATCGCGTTCACCAGACTTTAAAAGTTAAAGTGTAGATCGGATTTTGATAAACGAAAATTCACATTTTCTTATGCACCAATGATCAAAAGCACTCCTGAGTTTTAACTACGTTGGGAGATCTATTGCGCTATTTGCAATCGATCTGATTTGCTATAGGGTTCTTTCTTACGACCCAAAGGACGATACTTGCAAATGGTGTGGCTAATTACTTCATGTGGTAAGCACGAATTTCAAAATAGCCTTACGGCTACAGACCTTAATTACCAACCGATTTCAATGAAACTTACGGATAATAATAACATTAATAAGATCTCAGAGTAGCCAAACTTTCGGCCCCTTTCAGTTTCGAGAGATATGGGGTTACCAAACATTTCATGTGGCTTGACTACAGATCGCAATTGCGGTCTGCAATCGTGCCATAATATGAAATATATGGTAACCTGATATCTCGAAAACCGCTAACTGGAAGTGACCGAAATTTTGGCTACATTGCGATATTATTAATATTACCATGATCTGTAAGTTACATGGTAATCGGTTGATTATTGCGGTCTGCAGTCCTGCCACATGAATTGTGTGCTAACTTGATATCTCCAAAACCGCTAACTGGAAGTGGCCGAAATTTTGGCTACTTTGCGATATTGCTAACGTTGTCATGATCTGTAAGTTACATGGAATTCGGCTGATTATTGCGGTCTGACCGGAAGTGGCAGTAAATTTGGCTACATTGCAATATTATTAATTTTATCTGTACGAATTTGCCCATAACAGAATATTGGGCCCCGGGAAAGACCCAAACTGACACCCCAAAGCCGAAGGGGGGGGGGGGCAAAATGGGTTATACTCATACATTCGAGGTACCAGTCAAAAGTAACTTTAAATGAAAGAGTACATCAAACTGATCCTTGATTTTAGCCCTGTGCCCCTGATCTAATTATTGCTGCCTGCAGCCATGCCACGTGAATTATTTGGTAACCTGATATCTCGGAGATATTATTAATGTGATTATAATCAGTAAGTTTCGTGGAAATCGGTCGTGGTCTGCAGCCGTGCCACATGAAATCTGTAGTAACCTGATATCTCAAAAAACGAAATTTTGCCTACTCTGAAATATTATTGATGTTATCATAATGTGTAAGTTTCATGGAAATCGCTTGATAATTGTGGTACGCATGTATGTGGCAAATGACCCCCGAATTGACCTCTGATCTGTAGCATGTTCACAATAAATTGCATACAGACGCCGGGCTGTGGGGACAATATACGTCATATTATATCGGAGATAAACTATACAGGAGTCCCAAACATAATTATATGAAACCAGTTATATGTAATAATATAAGTGATGACCCATACCAGAGTTTGTGCTCATAATCTCAAGTGCCATCAGGGCTCAACCGTTTACTTCCGGATTTTGTTGTACATATACCGAAATTAAATGAAGACGGGAGTGTACATCTACCGTGTTCCGGACGACAAGACATTCAAGGATGGAAGGATGGAAAGTATGTGAATACTAAGTATACCCCAATTTTAAAATCATCTAGGTACAAAAGCGTCAATTATTTTTACCTGGCCAGTGAATATTTTTACAAGAAACTTTAAACCAGTCGTCAAAAATCTGGAGAAGAACACGCTGATTAAATACATCAGACACATTAAAACAGGCAACTGTATGACAATGGGTTGACCACGAAATACCTGAAACCAATAATATTAACACAATTAGAAACATAATTCTAAGAAATAATTTGATGTTCAAAAATAAATACGATATATACATGAAGACGATTTTAGTTAATTTCGAATTAGTTAATTTCGAATTTATCAGAGATCTCATGGATATAAAATCACAGCACAAGGTTTCGTTCCAATCGGATGATAATGTAGATGTTAACGCATTTAAGTTAACATGGCAACCAGGGTCGGATTGGATGTGTGTGTGTGTGTGGTGCCCCCGGCAACCAGGGTCGGATTGGATGTGTGTGTGTGTGTGGTGCCCCCAATATTACCCCCCCCCCCCCCCCAAAAAAAAAAAAAAAAAAAATTAAAAAAAAATTAGTTTTAGAACCAATTTTGTACCATCTATCTATCTATATATATATTTGTGACTGTCGTTTGTCTGTCTGTCTGTCTGCCTGTCTGCCTGTCTGCCTGTCTGTCTGTCTGTCTGTTCGGGGTTGGCGGCTACGCTAGGTCTGCCCCGAGTCTGGAATTTGGGGTATAGGGGTAGCTCGGACCGGGGAGTAACATAGGCCAGGTGGCGTTAGTCTACCACTTCCGGTTTCGGAGTTAGACCCCCGAGCGAAGCCGGGTATCTGTCTGTCTGTCTGTTCGGGGTTGGCGGCTACACAAGGTCTGGCCCGACTCTGAAATTTGGGGTATAGGGGTAGCTCAGACCGGGGAGTAACATAGGCCAGGTGGCGTTAGTCCACCACTTCCGGTTTCGGAGTTATGACCCCCGAGCGAAGCCGGTCTGTTCGGGGTTGGCGGCTACACTAGGTCTGCCCCGAGTCTGAAATTTTGGGTATATGGGTAGCTCGGACCGGGGAGTAACATAGGCCAGGTGGCGTTAGTCTACCACTAACGGTTTCGGAGTTATGACCCCCGAGCGAAGCCGGGTATCCTGCTAGTAAATATATAAATATGTCATTTATTATGTCTGTACCAAATAAATCTATCTACATGTATCTACAATACTGACATGCCCATTGCCTTTTCACTGTTGATGTAAGGGCCCCGTGAAATTTTCTGCTAGGGATCACCTAGATATTTCCAGCTGGGGGCATGCAAGCGAGAACTGTCAGCTCATTATCTAATCTTACCTAATGCCCCTTTAAACATACATTATGCAAGAACTATATCTGCCTATTGTAGATCTTTTTTTAGGCGTGAAATGTTATATAAACTATTAATTAGACATTCATTAACATGAAAATACCGTAATCAACTCTCGATGGCATCTTATGTGTCGGACTTTCATTAGATTTGAATCCGTTCTGCTGTTCAACGCTCATTCATAATTTAATCCAGAAATGGATAGCCGGGACTATGTTTTTGTCGACTTTAGTAATGATGATCGAGGCTAGGCCTAAAATTCAATCGCTAATAATTCGGTTCAGAGTGGAGCAATTTGACTGAAATTTTCAGCGTATCCCCTTTATATTACCTAGTTTTTAACTATTATAGTAAGAACTGACAACTCTTAATCTTATCTTTCATAACGCACCGTTAAGCAAATTGTTTGTATATTACTTCTCATAAAGATGAGTAAGGGTTTTTTTTATGCACGAAGCCTCCACGTGTAAGTCAAAGTTTATTGATAACCCTAGATTATGATTGTTTCGGGGTTGTTGTTTTTTGGGGGTTTTTTTTCCCCCAAATAAAATTAGATAAGAGGATATAGTTAAGTGCGACAGTCCTGACGTTGGATAAAATGGGACCAAAAGAGTTGAAGGACAGCCAACACTAGAGTTACAAGCAAAGTCCTTCTAAATTTAAAAATGTAATACCAAAACAGGGAGAAATTAAAGCGTAAATCTGTCATACAATTTTTTAAACTTACCCATTTTGTAGTATCACCAGAACATTCAAATACATGAGCAAGATTAACCAAAAACCTGTAAATGCCCCAAAATAATAGTAACATTCGACTTTCAATAATCAAAAGAGCATAAGCAATTCAATTTATGTCTGATCCCGTACAGAATTATAATATGGTTATTGGCCCCCGATCGTCATTTGGGGGGATTTTTAATACCTTGCATTGTGAATGTTGAGTCGCTGTATTTACAAAGATATGATGAATTGAAAATTTCGTGTTCAAATGTTAAAAAAAAAACTTGAATACATTTTAACGTTAGAAATACAAATGACGATTAGTGGCTTTGAAATGGCAGTCAGTGGAATAATTTATAACAATACATTTATTTCAAAATAGGAAAAATGTAAGCACCGTATAAAGCGATAATTGCATTTTTTTTAAGTAATAGGGGGTGAATGGCCGAATGGTTAACACGCGCGCTGTATCATAAGGTCTGTCATTGAGTCAGCTGGCGTGGTTTCGATTCCCCGGTTGTACGTGACAGGGAGTAGGCCCAACCTCGTGGGTTTTCTCCGGGTCCTCCAGTTTCCTCCGACTGCTAAAGACCCCTCTCTCTCTCTCTCTCTCTCTCAGAAAATATGCAATTATCGCTTTAAAGCATGGTCTTTTGTATGCGAAAATACTTAAATTTAGTAGCCATGAGTATATTCAGTATATGTATAGAGAGAATGGTGTTTAAAGTCCACTAAACACATGGTCTCCGGGCTAATAACATCATAATATTAGAAAGACCGAATTATTATGAAAAAGATCAAAACATACGCCCGAAAATACACGTACCACATGACACTATATGCAAGCCCAATCAGGGAGTCTATTACACTGTGTTTCTTTGAGAGACATGCAAAAAATGGATAGTAATCCACTCCCATCTCTATTACTGCTAACATTGCATAAAATACTGAAAGTGAAAAAATGGAAAAGGTTTTCTTTTATACCCGCATATAGCTACTCCACAATATAGATTACAAGTTCCATTTCTGTTTTCTTAATTTTCTTTATTTGACAGTTACACGGAGTCTTTATTTCTCTGGCACACCCGAAATAAAACTACATTATAATGACATTGAGCAAGTCATATATAAAGAGTGTTTATTTTTATATACATTTTGTATAAATAATGTATTAGAGATTAAATGGGCTATTTCATTTCTGTGAAGTGTTTCCAAAACTAAGTGGAAAGTATAAAACAAAAAAAACAAAAAAAACAACAACATTTTTATACGGGTATAGCTGCAAGCCGACATCAATAATAATGGTTGTTTAGCTCATGTCTGTATATATTATAATAAACTATTTCTGTGAAATTCAAATCATTATTATAGAAAGCAGTTAATATCCCAAAACGAGCGTCAGTTAATACAGAACCAAAAAAAAACCGTTTCATGACGGTGCATGATTTATTTCCCGACAAGAAAGAAAATTAAAATGCTTTCATTTCAATACTCAATAATATACATTTTTTTCCATATAAGACTAGAATTCAAGCACTCTAATAATAAACAATTAAATTACTTTTAAACCACATTGGACAATCCGGTGGTATAAAATGACCTTGAATTAAGGTCAAACAGTTAGTGGCTGTTGAACCAAAAGCAGCAGCATAAGCCATTCTATCTTCGTCTCCGTCTAATAGATTTACTGGGCTATACATAAATACAAAATTAAGATTAAACACCCCAGCAGCAAACAATTTCACCATATGTTTGGAACTAAAGATTCCTTATGGTTTCTTTCAGGAGATGCCTCGAAATACAATAAACTTATCGATTTAAGTCAATATAAAGTTTCCATTCTTGATGGAACAAAATCAAAACAATTAAATTTAATCTTAGTTTCGATTTTGACTTAAATGTTTAGCTAACTTAATATACTCTAGTCATTATAGAAATATTTTTTTTCCAGCCCATTTTTTAAGGTTTTACAACTGTGGGGCCAAGATAGGTGGGGGGTTCCGCGTGGGTCTTCCATCTCCCCCACCCCCACCCCCGGGTTTGCGAAAATTTTGAAATTTTGACCCCCATAATGCCCCCGCACATTAAAGATTTTTAGCTTTATTGGGGGGAGGGGGGCAAAAATTTTGTCTTAAAAATGGCATGTCTTTATCTCTCTTTCTGTAAACGAGATTTGTTCATGACTGCTTAATTTAACGATTGCTTACACTAATAGTCCTGGTCTTCCACTGTACCACTTGATGCCTCGGCCATTCTTTCTCCTTTCAAAAACACTTAGAAATAAAACTATCAAAAGCTAGAATATATAACACAATATAATTCATAAATGTGTATCATACAACGTATTTAACTCTGTCCAGAAGATTCCCGTGTATGGTACAGTGCTAAGTTGCAATATTATTTGAAATTTGATCAAAAATGTGAGAGGTTTTAATATAGGGCCCGATATACCACCAGTAAAAGCATGACACCAGTATCGGTTCCACCAAAACCAAACTAAATGATGATGGAAATTTCTCATTTGTGTGCGATATACATATAGTGGAAATATTACCTAACATATTCCCACCCCAACCACAAAAAAAAACAACAAATGACAAAAAGGAAAAGAAACTTACCGCAGGACCAACAGAAAAATGCGTAAATTCTTTTAAACTTATTGTTGGATAACATGCTAAATCTGGTACTTCATATTTACTTTTATTATTGTGGGTAAAGTCAATTAATCTAGAATAAATCAAAAAATAGGATTCCGGTTCAATAAGTAAAGGGTATCACTTTGCATAAATCGATTAGAATTATTCATTGAAATAATATTAAAAATAAATTATGTTCAACTCGCTATATCTAACATAATTCATTAGAATTTTCAGGGAATAATCTATCGTGAGCTATATATTTTACAAGTATTATACTGCCTATATATTGATATTAAATTAATGTACATAGGAAAATAATTTCTTTGGAAAATAATATGCTCCTAGTGAAAGGCCATATTTAAAAAATATTTAATAAAATAAAATAAATTCAATTAACAAAAAAGTATAAGAATTAATAGAAATATAAATAAATAATGTGCATATTTATAATGCGCTGTATCCACAAACTAAGTTTATGCTCAAAGCACGACACAATAAAGATAAAACAA